CTTCTAGATGTAGATTGTAAAAAAAAGGTCCAAAATACCACCAAAAAAAAGGTATTCCAGTGCTAAAGTCATTAAGCCTTTTCTTTGAGGCTCAGCTGGCTCTGCCTCTAGATAGGCAGAGCCAGCTTTCACTCACGCAGCTGGGCGGATTCAGACATAATTGTCGGGATCCGTTTCAGCTGCGGCGTCTCAGTATACCGCGAGCTACTGAGCTTAGGATGACGGGAGTTCCTTTATGCGAACTCCCGCCGCATAATCAAGCATCTGACAGATGCCGGCAAAAGAAAAACAATTGGGTGGAGCTAGCGGTGACTGCTAGCTCCACCCAACTGTTTCCTATTGGCTGGCACCTGCCAGAGTCTTCTAGTAGGTCCCAGCCAATGGGACAAGCGTCTTGGCCAATGGGACAACTGGGTGGAGCCGGCCGTGACGTCACTCCGCGCAGTTGTTATTATTTAATGACAGATCAGCGTCTCCAGGTCATTTGGGGACGCTGATCTGTCATTACAACTGGGCGGAGCGAGCAGCTGGCTCCGACCGGCTGTCATTTGCGTGGAGGTCGGTCAGCCTCGGCCGACCTTTCTCCACGCTTCGGCTGTCACTTCGGCTCAGCCGAAGCATATGCCATTGGCTCGGCTGAGCCGCCCGGCTACCTTCGGCTGCTGTACAGGCCATTGTTCGACTGAACCCAAGGGCTCCGGCGTCTGAAGAGAGCTGAAGGATCAGCCAAAGCTTCGGCTGGATCTTTCGGCTCACTAATGAATAACCTCCTTAATTTTGCTACCAGAGCCTGGAATAGATTTCAAAGACAATAGTTTTCTTCCCCAAAGTTGCAATAACTATTCAGCTTCTTTCTTCAAATATTCTAGATGAAGCCTAAACGCTGCACTACCTAGCAAGATCCGCTCTGCCCTCTCCTACCCTTCTTTTTCTTCCACACAATATATAAAAACACAACGCAGCAGCTTGCACTTGTGTGATTGCATTTTGTATGAGGGGAGGGGTGCCCATGCTCTTCTACGCTGCTGATTGCCTGCTTCAAGCTGTTCCCTCGGTCATAGGGGACTCCTAGACTGCATCACTCTCATGCATATCTCATAAAGACTTACAGCCTTAGACGTTCAACAACACTCATCTCCTGGGTCGAATATTGGACAGCGTCATTCAATCCACTTTGTGTGGGTCCAGTTTGTCTTTAACACACACCCTGGTTAGGTTAGGTTGACATCTGACCTCTGGCTTGGCATCGAAGACATCCTGGGCTTCCTTCATTGTTTGTTCCCATTTTTGGTTATTGTTATTTTCAATAACCTCCTTTTATTTTTAACCTGCACTTTAGTTCCTGTCTGGGTTCTTGGTTGAATAATGGGCAGTGTCATTCAACCCACTTTGTGTGGGTCCAGTTTGTCTTTACCACACAGCCTGGTTAGGTTGAGCTCGATGGTCTTGATCTTTTTTCAATCAGACTATGTAACTATGAAGGTGCGCCATTGTCAGGGTGTCTTACCCTTCCTTTTCCAGTTGGCTGTGCATGCCTTGTTTGCAGTGTCTCTGACACTGCTTGTTCCTCTTTGGTGTCCTGTTATGACCAAACCCATAAACAACTTTATTCTGCAACTCCTGGAAAATTCCTCTCTCAGAGTTATGATGCCACACCAACTCACTATTTAACCATCAGCTTGTCCACTCATTGCCCTTGTGTGTGTTCTGATCTACCAAATGCTCTGCTGTTGTTCCTGTTTTCGGTGTATGACCCTGGCTCTGGCTGACTGATCTCCTGGTTCCTGACTCCGGCTATTGTTTCCGTTCCTCTTGCTCTCAGTGCTCCCTGGCCTGGTTTGGCTGGCTACCCGCTTCGGCATCTGACCTCTGGCTTGGCATCGAAGACGTCCTGGACTTCCTCCATTGTTTTTTGCCATTTTTTGTTTATTGTTATTTTCAATAAACGCCTTTTATTTTTAACCTGCACTTGAGTTTCTGTCTGGTTTCTTGGTTCCCTAACAGTCATCAGTACTCATGGACTCAAAGAACTGCTTAGGACCAGCCACCACCACCAAAAGAATAATACAAAATACACAGCGTCAGCTGGTGTCAGAGCTCAAGGGGAGCAGTGATGTCCCCCCCTCCCATCATGTGACAGTTATTGGGCCTAGAAACTGACCACTAGGCCCAGGAACTGTATCATGGGGGGAGGCCACATGCTTTTCCATATCTAGAAGCAATGGATATTTTGTAGTCACCTATGAAAGAACATGGGGAGGAGAGCTGGAGACGTTAGTAAGAGGTAGGCTTGACACAGACCCTGTCACTTGATTAGTACCTCTTTGATTAAGCCCAGGCGGTGAAACACGGGAGAAGCGTTGGAGTGGGACAGATACTATGGTGGTATATACCTTGTATTTTGAACTTTGCATGGAATTTACAACAATAAAGTTGGATTTTTACGGACCTCCGGTTCCGTGCGGCCGATTGGAGTGATATTGTTTGACAAGAGGGTCTCTTTTGATTTTGAATGTCCCTGTGGCATGTGGGTGTAGTATATGGCCTTGGATTGAGAAATTAGCAGGTGACATATGAGGTTTGAAGCTGTTTCTCCCATAGAAGATCAATCATAGAACCTTCAACTGCATTATTGCACATGAATAGTTCTGTGTAATGGGATGCATGGGTTATAATTACATTACAGTCGCACATGTTTCTTAGCATATGTATAGTTTTAATATCAGCTCTGAACGCCTACTTTCAATGAATATCAATAAAGAATCACCTTGGTTTTCAAGTCTTCAATTTTAAAAATCTAAAAGGACCCTTCCTTTCTCATATTCCTAATTCACTATGAGGGTTCTTCACAAAGCTGCCGAAGAATCCAGCCGTAGTTTTGGCTGACCCTTTGGCTAGCTTCGGTTACAGGAGGGCTGCTACCCGTACAGCTCCCGAAGTTGGCCCATCATCTCACGGCTGGCTCCGGCCACTTACAATGACAGATCAGCCTCCCCTGGTTACGTAGAGCCGGCGGTGATATCAAAGCCGGCTCTGCTAAGCTCTCATGGTAATGACAGATCAACGTCCCCTGGTTACTTGGTAACCAGGGGACGCTGATCTGTCATTGATATCACCGCCGGCTTTGATATCACCGCCGGCTCTGCTATGCTCTCATTGTAATGACAGCTGGTCCCGGCCAATGGAAGACAGTTGGGCGGAGCTAGCTGTCACTGCTAGCTCCGCCCATTCGTTTTCAATTTTTTTTCTACTTTTGTAACTGGTTTTCTTCTCTGCTCGGTACCACAGAGGTACCATTGGCCGGCTGAAAGCCTGCTGCTGACAGCTGGGGGGAGCCAGCCGTCATCTCACGGCTGGCTCCGGCCACTTACAATGACAGATCAGCGCTGATCTTTTAAATTGAAGACTTGAAAAGCAAGGTGATTCTTTATTGCTATTCATTTAAAGTAGGAGTACAGACCGGATATTAAAACTATACATATGCAACGAACATGTGAATAGCCGAGCCGAATGCCGCTCTATGAGAAAAGGCCGAACTGCAGCGAGTAGCCCGCCGGAGGTTCGGCTCAGCCGACCGAGATGTTGGATCGACTGAGTGGAACTCCTTCTGCACTTCGGGTCGGCCGAACATGGCGAGCATGTTCGGCCGACCCGAACCCAGCCCGCAGCAAGCCGATGTACGGCTGATTTCCTATAAAGGCAGCCAATGTACGGCTGATTTCCCATAAAGGCAGCCAATGTACGGCTGATTTCAATCGGTGTGCGGCTGAAATCAGCCGTACAAGCCTGAAGTGAATAGCCGAACAGCGTTTGTCTCACTTCACTTCGGGTCGGTTATTCCCACCCAAATTATTATCCTGATGTTTATCTCTCATAGTTTGAGCTATGGTCATATAGGAAAGGTGCCAAGAAGGTGCGATTTGGTTCCCCTCTCTTTTGACATTTTATATATATTCTCTTATTCATTCTCTTTTACTTCTACTTGTTCCTCCTACATATCTTTTCCCATAGGGACACTCAGTCATATACACGACATTTATTGTTTCGCGGCTAATCTGTAAAATCTTTATATTTTTACCACTTTCGGCAGAAGCGACTTTATTCTCTTCATCCCACACACAAATCACATGAGGGGGAAAAAAAAGTTTAATTTTCAAAAATATACTTCTTTTTAGGGTTATTTTAGCAATAGGGAACACAATTGTTCATTATGAATTCTTTATTTAGGAGTTTTCCAGTATCAAAAACAGAAACGGAGTACAAAAATATCAAGAAAGTGGGAGAGGGGACAATCAGGACACCAAAAAAGGTTTTTTTTTTGCTGCCTATTCCAGCCCTAAAGGAGACCAATTTATCAAATTTTAAAGGGATCCATCTGGCTATAGTATCTTGAGTCCAATCAAAAACTTATCTCATCCTAAGCCTTGATAAAGGGGGAGTGTCCCATGAAACGCGTTGGTTGTTCTTTGCTTAATCGATTTATGAACTATTGAAGGCACGTTTGGACTGTCACCTCTTGGTTGGGCGCCCTTTTATTTCTGACTGCCCAAGAATCTGGCTCCATGTTGTTTGGCTGGCTTGATTGTGCTTGGCCAGGAAGCCGGCTTCCCAGCCAATCAGCATGGAGCTGGGTTCCCGGGCCAATCAGGAAGCCGAGCGGCGACTAATGACCCGGCTCCGAGCTTCCTGATTGGCCCATGGAGCCAGATTGATGCTGATTGGCTTTAAACCCAAAGGTTTGGTGGGTAGGTGATCTAGCCAAATCGTTCAAACAGCTTGGGTTTGAGTCAAACTCATACTGGACCTGGACTTAAAGGAGAACTATGGGGTTAAGTCTTTGTCACAGGTCGGCTAGAACTATGAGGTGAGTGAAAAGCACCCCCCTCCCCCCTCATAGTTATCCTTTAAAGCTTTGGCAAAAATGTTTGGTTCCATTTTGGAATTTTTTGGGGGGATTGTCATTTGATTATAAACAGCGTATTTGTTTTTGCCTTTTATAGGTGAATGTAGCTGCCATGAAGGTTACGCTCCAGATCCAAACCATCCACACTTGTGTATACGCAGTGACTGGGGACAGAGTCAAGGGTAAGTTCTTGGCACGTCTATCAGATTGCACCCCATGATATCTGTTACTGACCTTGAACTTGTTGCATGTCGGTAGAGTCGTTTTGATACGAAATAGGTATCCTTAAAGGAGAACTACGAGGTGAGTGAAAATCACTCAGCCTCATAGTTCGAGCCGACGTGTGACCATGAAACTGTCACAGGTCGGCTCAATAGATCGGGAGATGAGCGAACACATACCGTCGCTCGCTCACTTCTCGATCCATCCCTGCAGAGAGAGGTGACTGTCACTCACGGCTCCCTGCAGGGATTCGCCCGCTCCGTTCCTCAAGTGCTGACTGGCGCGGACGCCGAGGGGGCGGGTACAGCTGGCTCTGCCTCTAGCTGCGTCAATCAAGCAGCTGGGTGGATCCAGACAGTAATGTCGAGATCCTTCCCGGCTGCGACGTCTCAGTATACCGTGAGCTGCAGCTCGCTATATACTGAGCCGAGGTCCTGGCAGCCGGCGATGTAAGTGAGCTGAATGGGACGCTCTGGCTTGCATCCCGCCGAGGTCCTGGCAACCGGCAATGTAAGTGAGCTGAGCGGGACGCTCTGGCTTGCATCCTGCCGAGGTCCTGGCAACCGGTGATGTAAGTGAGCTGAGTGGGACGCTCTGGCTTGCATCCCGCCGAGGTCCTGGCAACCGGCGATGAAGTGAGACGCTCTGGCTTGCATCCTGCCGAGGTCCTGGCAACCGGCGATGAAGTGAGACGCTCTGGCATGCATCCTGCCGAGGTCCTGGCAACCGGCGATGAAGTGAGACGCTCTGGCATGCATCCTGCCGAGGTCCTGGCAACCGGCGATGAAGTGAGACGCTCTGGCATGCATCCTGCCGAGGTCCTGGCAACCGGCCATGAAGTGAGCTGAGTGGGACGCTCTGACTTGCATCCCGCCGAGGTCCTGGCAACAACAAGGGGCTCGGCATCTAGCTTGGAAAAGCATTCCTCAGACAGCAAGCCGTGAGCAGCACTAGGTTTAAATAGTATAAGCAAGAGGGAGGAACCACAGGATTGGCCACAAGCTGACCGCACTGATTGGCTGAGAAGCTGCATAAGAATCAGTAGGAGAGGTTGGCTCCAAGAGCAAGTCAGGAACAGAGCACATGCCTGGAGGACTACAGCTAAACTCTGACACTGGCCTTGATAACGGCCAGAAGAAAAGAAGAAGATTCAGCTCCCATAGACTTCAGTGGGGTATGGGCGCCATTTTGGGGGGGTTTGCGGAATTCCCATTGGGTTTGACTAAAGTCCAGAGAACCAAACTGCGCTCGGTTCACTCATCCTTCATTTCTAATTGGCCTTCCAAAGTAGACTTTAGCTGGGGTGAAAATCCTATAAGGCCCACAGGCTCTTGGGAAGATGGTGGCTACCAATACATATGATCCCGACTCGCGCTGCCCAGAATAATAGATATACCAAATGGCGCGCTTACTTTGTGTTTGTGCGTGCGTTTTGTTCTTCTCGGGGGAATCGTGGAAACAACAGTTAATCCTTCCTAAATTGTCTTGTATCGCGGTGACAAGAATATCGATGTGTTTGTTTCACCGCAAGGTTTCTTTTCTCTTTTATTTTTTTTTCTCTCCTCCCTTGAAAAGTTTTTTTTTTTTGGTGCATTTGTTCTTTTTTCAATATTAAACGGTTTTGTTGCTCAGCGACTGCGTCTATACCATTGATTACGTGCGCAATATATTCAATTTTTTTTTTAAATATTTAATATGCTGTGATTTGTATGTTTTTCTTTGCTGGCTGCGACTGGGCAGCCACGGGGAGACTTTATTATTGATTCAGATCCCTATTATTTCATGTATGTTTCATCAATAATAATTTTCTACCATTAACGGCTTTGCTCTGCGGTGGAGGGCGCGATAACGCGCGAATGCTGCAATTTCTTGTGACCTTGTTTTACTGTTCAGTCTGTTATTTTCAGTACAGCATCTATGGTGCAATGGGGCTGGTAAGGTCGTAATTGTGTTAGTTCAAGAGGCCCTTTGTCTTTTCTTTTTTTTGGTCCATAGCAGCCAGTTGGACATTTTCGGGTCAAGCCCTTGCTTCTCTGTAATTACCAGATAAAGGATAAGAAAACCATTTAGTTTGGCAAAACAATCTTTTAGCATATGCAGCGTGTTAAGATGTCAAGGATAAACAAGAATCTTAAAGCTGAACTCCAGGCAAATATAAAGGACGCAAATTAATGCAGCTCTGCATTCATTAACAACAATAATAATAATAATAATAATAATAATGATAATAATTTTATATATATATCTATCTCTCTCTATCTATCTATCTATTCTTTTAAATTCTGTTATAATATTATTATTATTTTTATAGAATAATAATAATAATGATAATAATTTTATATATATATCTATCTCTCTCTATCTATCTATCTATTCTTTTAAATTCTGTTATAATATTATTATTATTTTTATAGAATAATAATAATAATGATAATAATTTTATATATATATCTATCTCTCTCTATCTATCTATCTATTCTTTTAAATTCTGTTATAATATTATTATTATTTTTATAGAATAATAATAATAATGATAATAATTTTATATATATATCTATCTCTCTCTATCTATCTATCTATTCTTTTAAATTCTGTTATAATATTATTATTATTTTTATAGAATAATAATAATAATGATAATAATTTTATATATATATCTATCTCTCTCTATCTATCTATCTATTCTTTTAAATTCTGTTATAATATTATTATTATTTTTATAGAATAATAATAATAATGATAATAATTTTATATATATATCTATCTCTCTCTATCTATCTATCTATTCTTTTAAATTCTGTTATAATATTATTATTATTTTTATAGAATAATAATAATAATGATAATAATTTTATATATATATCTATCTCTCTCTATCTATCTATCTATTCTTTTAAATTCTGTTATAATATTATTATTATTTTTATAGAATAATAATAATAATGATAATAATTTTATATATATATCTATCTCTCTCTATCTATCTATCTATTCTTTTAAATTCTGTTATATAATAATAATAATATTATAACAGAATTTAAAATAACAATAATATTTATTATTATTACAATTATTATTATTATTATTATGTAACAGAATTTAAAAGAACACACACATATAGTGCTATAAATCAGAGTTTCATAACTAGAATGTGTTACAATGCCTCTCAGCCAAGCGGTCAGCACTGTGAGTTGTGGGTGGATATACAGTGAAGGAGTCAGATGGGCCAGTGTACAGTCTTTGCACAGTTGGTAAATAGCAAATAAAATAATTAATGAAGACTTTTCTTCCTCCTTTAGCCCATGGCCGTACAACACCCTGGAAAGAGGTTACGATTTGGTGACTGGACAGCAAGCCCCTGAGAAGACCCTCAGGTAGGAGAGTACAATAGAATTTGCATTGTCTTTTCCAAGGTTGCTTCACATGGCACTCACTACCTTGTTATTCTGCTTGAGCATGAATCCTACCGACAGCCATTTATTAAGGTACAAAGCAATTAGAGCCGAAATTGAATCTGCTGATTGAAGGTCACATGATGTCCAGAGACTTTAGGGTATTTAGACCTGAACTGTTGACCACTCTCTACATGCCAGTGCCTTGTAGACCCAGCTTCTTCACATACATGGTACATCTATCCAGATTATGCCACCTACTAAAATTGGCACGCCATAAGCAGCCATCAGAAATACACCCTACGAATTGTGTTGTCTCAAGTGGGCAGCCCAGTGGTTTAGTGGTTAGTCCTCCTGCCTTGCAGTACTGGGGTCCTTCTCAACCAGGACGCTATCTATAAGGAGTTTATGTGTTCTTCCTGTGCTTGCGTGGGTTTCCTCTCCAAAGACATGCTCGTAGGTTTATTGACTCCTGTCCTAATTGGCTCTAGCATGCATATGAGATAGGGGAAAAGGCGTAACTAGAAACTTCAGGGCCCCGGTGCAAGAAACCATCAAGTAATTGCGACCCTGGTAGTTCTGCCAGTGGATAGGGGTCTTAGACTGCAAGCTCCTGGAGGGCAGAGACTGAGGTAAATGTACAGTATGTAACTCAGCAATTTACAGCGATCAGCCATAACATTGTAACCACTGAGAGGTGAATAACGTCGATTATCTCCTTACAATGACACCTGGAAGTGGGGGGATATATGACAATGACACCTGGAAGTGGGGTGGAATATATTACAATGGCGTCTGGAAGTGGGGGGATATATGACAATGACACCTGGAAGTGGGGTGGAATATATTACAATGGCGTCTGGAAGTGGGGGGATATATGACAATGACACCTGGAAGTGGGGTGGAATATATTACAATGGCGTCTGGAAGTGGGGGGATATATGACAATGACACCTGGAAGTGGGGTGGAATATATTACAATGGCGTCTGGAAGTGGGGGGATATATGACAATGACACCTGGAAGTGGGGTGGAATATATTACAATGGCGTCTGGAAGTGGGGGGATATATGACAATGACACCTGGAAGTGGGGTGGAATATATTACAATGGCGTCTGGAAGTGGGGGGATATATGACAATGACACCTGGAAGTGGGGTGGAATATATTACAATGGCGTCTGGAAGTGGGGGGATATATGACAATGACACCTGGAAGTGGGGTGGAATATATTACAATGGCGTCTGGAAGTGGGGGGATATATGACAATGACACCTGGAAGTGGGGTGGAATATATTACAATGGCGTCTGGAAGTGGGGGGATATATGACAATGACACCTGGAAGTGGGGTGGAATATATTACAATGGCGTCTGGAAGTGGGGGGATATATGACAATGACACCTGGAAGTGGGGTGGAATATATTACAATGGCGTCTCAGCTTCTCTCACAGGCATGCATTTCAAAGACAATGAAAGTTTTTCTAATAGATATATACAAATATAAAGTGAGCAATTATCTTGTTACAAAAGGCATCTGGAAGTGGGTGGGATATATTAGGGAGCAAGTAAACATTTTGTCCCTGAAGCTGATGTGTTGGAAGCAGAAAAAATGGGCAAGTGTAAGGATTTCAGCGACTTAGACCAGGGACCAAAGAATGAGTTCAAGAAAGGGGTTAAGAATGGTTTGAGGAACCCAACAACGAGATTGAGGTGTAAACTTGGCCTCCAACTTCTCCAGATCTCAATCCAACCAAGCATCTGTGGGATGTGCTGGGTCTGTGCTAGAGTCCGATCCACGGAGGCCGATCACCTCGCAACTTACAGGACTTAAAGGATCTGCTGCTGACGGCTTGGTACCAGACACCACAGTACACCTTCAGAGGACTAGTGGAGTCCATGCCTCAATGGGTCAGGGCTGTTTTGGTGGCAATTAGTGTATACAAAACAAATAATAATAATGACATAAACTTAAAACAGTCTATGATAAATTAACCAAAAATGACTTTTTTTTTCTTCAGAATTTGTTTTTGTATTATATTAATATTAGGAATTTACAGCGATAGGATTAATTGGGTAATACAATGTATTTTATAGTTAGAGGATTAATTGGGGAATTTGCCGTATTTCTGCCGCCGTTGCCGCTTCAATGTAGTGTGACTGGAGAAATTTAAGACCTTAAGCTACTTAAGAAAGCACCTTTTGGTGTTATATTGTCTTTATATTATTTTTCACAGTCTCACATCACAGCGTGTTCCCCTTAAGTCACATAATGCTGTCACATATGCCATACAAATCCCACTGACTTTTATAGCGATGTCTATTATTATCCTGTTCTTAATATGATATGAATTGGATTTGTGCTCCTTTTGTGCCTCTTTATTGGATATTTAAGTTGTACTTATAATGGCATTATGTTCCTTTTTTTTTTAAAGTTTGATCCCTACATTTATTTTTTTAATTCCACAGCTTTGAATATACAATATGTAAGATGGTATCCAGATTTAATTTTAGCTCCTAAGACTAGTGAGCTGCAGGTAACCCCCTTAAAGTGGATCTTTCAGTAAGTTTACATGAACATACACTGAGTGGCCAGATTATTACGACCCCCCCCCATCAGTACTTGGTTGGGCCGCCTGGTGACTCCACGAGATGGTGAAAGGTGATGCGAGGAATCTGACACGGCACTGTCACCCTTCTGTTGTCTTGTACCAGTCTTGCCCCTCCCCCGTTCTGCCCTAACATTGACTAGTCGCTGGCGGCCACAATTCGCACGTTCAGACCCAGATTTTCGGCTGACAGTCCGGTCTTTAAACACTTTAACAATGAGCCGCTCTGGAACATGTAACGAATTCTGCTGCTTTGCTGATACTCGCTCCATGGCTCCGAGCGCCAACAATCATCCCGCGTTCAGAGGCTGTTACATCGCGTTGTTTCCCCGAATCTTCAGAAACAAATCACTTCTACTGTCGTGGTAACCAACCCGCTTCCCTATTTATAATAGTCTGGCCTAACCCTAAGCTAATTATAGCTAATTTGCCTACAAACGTCAGGCGGTCATAATAATCCGGCCACTCAGTGTATTCCTGGCATGTCACAATAGACGGCAACAGTATAATGTTTCCAAAAAGTTCCTTATTTTATCTTTAAAAGACATCCTGGAGCTCTGGTCAAGTGATGTTGCCCGGGACTGAGATGATGTCATCAGTCTGCTGCAGGATTGTCTCAGTTTCTTCTCCCTCAGTAAGGAAACTGTAACATTGTAACTGTATAGCCAATCATAACGTGAGAATCTTCAGCAGGGGCTGATGTGTGTTAGATATTTGTGGCTTCTCCCTCCCTATCAGTCACCGTTCCCCACAAGGATTCCCCCCCCCCCCCCCCCCCTCTCC